ACGTTTTCACAATATGCTTGTAATATAGAAAATCTTATTGTGAAAATACTGTAGATAAAATATTTTTGAATTGTTTTGTATAAGCGATGTAAATATAGACCACCTTTTCTCTAACCTCTTTTCAATTTTAAAGAACATTAAAACTAGGATAGATTTTTTTTATTGTGATAAGTGATCACCTGATGGTAAGCATTCAGCGGCGCCCATGGACACCTAGAACACCAAAAGCGTTACAAGTGCGTTACCGGCCTTTTGCGGTTTAGAAATTTGAGGATTGTTCGGGTCTTGAGGAGATAGGGGACAATTGGACCTCTGGCAACGTCACTCACACGACGAAATACAACGCAAGCGTTGTTTCATGTCGATTTTCTGTGAGGCCGTAGACTTCGGTCGAGCTGGCCCATTCATGCCGAAGCATGGCTCTCCCACCCTTACGCTAAACAACATTTTGATTTTTCCCAAACTAATAAACTAACTAATAAGTGATAGTCACATCCAACGATACTAGTTAGGGGTTAGTTTAATTTTACGTTCGTTTTGACGTTCATTACGTTCTTTAAAAAATAACCTTGCAAAATATCAGCCAGATCATTTTATTTCAACCTGTTAAGTATAATCTGTGATGATTGATGACTTGATCAATGTCGACTGCATTCGTTTAATTTCTCAATCAATACTCAAATATAACTAAAAATGAAATTATACATGAATCATTTTTTTATGCCTTTTGAAGCCTAATATAACATTTTTATATTTTTTAAGGTGTAAATATTTTAGTTGTTAGTAATTATTTGTATTTTAAATAACAATACAATAAACAATATAATTTGATAATGACATGATGATGATGCTTCGTTATACAGATCTACATATTTTAATATAATATTTATTTCATGGAAACGTTTCTTTGCACTTTAAATTTCATAGAAATTCAATCGTTCTTTATTACCTTTAGTCAGAAACAAAGAAACCGAAGCAATATATAAAGCGAAATTCCTCAGAAAAACATACTTTACAATGCAATTCTTAGAATCAATATACCTCTATTTAACACCAATAACTTTTTAGATTGAAAGAACTTACTAACTATGGTAAGTAGTTTTTAGTTTTCCAATACACCATACCTCTAGTTTCCTGAAATGGAGTCCAGTTTTCACTCTTTTCCAATAGTCACTTTTTTGCAATAACTCTGAGTGTTTACTGAAAACGTACTCCTGTACTGAAGCGTACTAGACCTGAGTACAAAACGTACGTTCATAGCATAAGATACCACTTTTTTCTTTCTATATTGTGGGTAGGTAAGTTTAAGTGTGGGAGAACCATGCTTCGGCACGAATGGGCTCGACCGAAGTGATACCACGGCCTCACAGAAAACCGACGTGAAACAACGCTAGCGTTGTATTTCGTCGTGTGAGTGAGGTTACCGGACTGCAATTACCCTCTCCTGTCCCAATTTCCCCAATTTATGAATCCCCAACGATCCTCAAACTCCTAATCCCCAAAATGCCGGTAACGCACTTGTATTGGTGTTCCAGATGTCCATGGACGACGCCGATTGCTTACCATCAGGTGATCCGTCAGCTCGTTTACCGGCTTATGCCGTAAAAAAATGTAGGTGAGCAAAGCTTATTCATTTTGGATTAACAATAGAAACAGAGCTAAGTAACGTTTCCAAACGTCTAAATTAAACTTCGTTGGCCGTTAGCAAACCGCATTATGGTAATAGAAACTTATTTTGTAAAATAAATAGGTACTTTATCTTAAAATAGTCAATACGGATTTGTTGCCGAAGAGAAATACCGACGTCTTTCTGATAGAGTAAATAGTAGATAGAGTAAATAAACAAGACACCAATTTGTTTTTAATAATATTCATATTTAAATCTCATGTGATCAGCTTATTGCATAATACGGACAATTCTAGACTATTTCCTATTACTGAGAATTTATCCATAGCCCACACAAGGTACTTCACCCGACTAGAAAACGCAAACAAAACTCCCCTTATCTTACATGTGGAAAATACACAAAAGGTTTATTGGATTCTCAACCTTATTACCGTTGGCCACATCAGCCCAGTAATTCAAGGCCGTCAGCCTCCGGGGGAAAACATAGATTAATTCTAACCGATTGTTATACAATTTAGGTGAAGTTGTTACTTCGGACCTATCCCATACTAGCCCCCATGGGCTGGAAGCAATGATACCTCTCGATTCCCTCACTATACTCAAGGGACAAATAGACTTGTTTTATAGTATATTCATTATTCCAGAGTTTGGTTATCGTGTGATTAAAATTTCCCCAAACAAGATAATCCCCTTTTACGATATTAGACCTGTGTTTGTAAAGCTATCGACCCATGTTGCAAAGACCATTAATGTAGGTACAATGTTTTAATTACTTAATCGTTTGTTTAAAATTCGTGGTTAGAAATGTAAATGAAAGTTTAAGTGGAACCTTTCTATAATAGAAAGAAAGGTCTCATAGCCTCACGCATGTATCGCAATATGGGTGTTTAAATTAAATGAGAATAAATGAGTGTTTACTTAATTAGTTGAGTATAGTCTTAAAATCGGTAACGCAAGTGAATCGTGTCACCGAAATTACTAAAACCTAAACAAAATTATACACTTCTGATTACGTCTTTCAAGGAAATACAATATTAATAATGTTTTCCGTTGCATAACAACAACAGCGCAACAAAACTTTCGTTTCCTCTAAACAAAGCGATGTATCATCTTAATAAATAATTTATAAAACTAGCTGTAGGTACCTACCTACAAATAATATCGGAAACGCAACTTATCACTTAGCGTTAGAGGGTCTGATGAAAACTTATTATCCCGGGACAAACAATGGGTGAATGGAAAGAATAAAAAAAACAGGCAAAAGGAACGAATATGGTCGCAATAACGATAAATAATCTTTCTTTTTGCCGGCATAGCAATGACTTCAGCTGACGAAAAAGGTCTGAGAATACTCTTTTGTACAAACAGAGCAAATAAATCGCAGCTCATGATGGAATTTTGATGTCCAAGTGACAAGGACCAAGGACCAATATTCGAGTGTATCTTAGGAAAAAAGCCTACGGACAATATCTTTACGATTGAGAGAAGTTATCTTTGAAGAAACTGTGGTGATTGTTATCGTATAAAAGTCCAATAAAGACAAGTAATTTTGAGATAAAACTATTGTTGATTGATTCGTTTATCGAGATAAACAATAAAAAACAATAAACAAGTTTGTAGAAATTGATTCTTCATCTACAAAAGTTTAGTATTAGAAACACATGAAATGTAAATCTAATAAGTACAACATTAACATGTTCTCAACAAAACACAATACACGAATCTCTCATTGTACCCTCTCATCCTACATAATTCGTTAAAATAATACACACAAACTCACCAGTTATACCTACATTAAAAATAACATTTTACCTCGACGAGTAAATAAAATTGTATCTACAAGGAAATATTTAAAATGATCTCCACATACATACGAGATACAGATTGGCATGTTTATGAGAAACATCCGGGTTTAGTCCTTCTGAGAAATCGTCCGCCATTTTTAATTCTCTTGTTTTGTTTTCATACTTCGTAACAACATAACATGAAATAACATAATCATTTTAATCCCCGAAAGGGGTAGTCGGTTAGGTAATATTTTACGGGTGGTATTTAATACTTTAACTGTAAATTCCCTTTTTTCAATCAAACTGTTCGAAATTACCACCAATAATACTGAATTGCACACGAAATTTGCTCATCAAATAGATCAATTATACTATACTGTTCTGGAACTTTAAACCCCGGGTCACGACAGCCTTAGTATCGAGCACCTACAGCATGCAGGTGTACACCTGCCCAGGGTTCTTTCTATGTTTTTTACCTTGTGTTTAGGTCACTCCCACCTACCTGATAATTTAATGCGTACTATAGTTGTACCAATCATCAAAAATAAAACTGGTGATACATCAGATGTAAACAACTATAGACCGATCTCTCTGGCCACAGTGATCGCCAAAGTACTGGACAGTCTGCTTGGTCAGCAACTGGATAAACACGTCTCGCTAAGAGACGCGCAGTTCGGCTTTAGGCCTGGGGGCCTAAAAAGGTAACATTGGGTGAATCATTTCTAATATGACAGATTTGATGAATTGTTAGAGAATCACCTAAATCACCATAAAATGGTAACAATAAAATATGAAACACCTTCAATTCATTTCATAACTGAATCATATTAGATGCCGATGTTGCTACATAAGAAATATATAGAGAAAAACCGAACCGTAACTTTACCGGTTTTGTTTATCTTGTGTTTTATTATAACTTAAATTAAAAATTTCGATCTTGAATGTTTTTTAATTATAATATTTTCTCATATCTATCAAGAAACTAGAAAATCCATTAAAATACAGTGTGAAAACTACATACAGTATTTGATTTTGATTTTCTTATTTCCTTTTTGCTGGCAATGACTCGTGCTCATACGTCACGTCAGTCAGTCACTGTCAGAATAACAGTAAATTTAAACTTCATTTAAACAAACAAATTTGTAAAAAAATATTAAACTCTTTAACTTAGACATTATTTCATTGGGAAGTAAGTAACAGTAAATAGAGTTCGAGATGTGAATGGAATTCGAGAAGTAAATTGATACAGAAAAGGGCTCCTCCCTTACCAAGGCGAAGATTGAACGCTATGGATTTTATCTATTAAGAAATAATACACGTTAAAAGGTAAATATAATTATTTGTTACTAGCTTATTTGTGTACTTAATACTAGTCATTAATACCGAGCCAGACACTCAACAACGGCACTACGCCCAAAAACATTGTCGGCCTCGGAATACTGTGGAAAGGTGTATCGAAGTACTCAAATCTTGCTGGCGATGCTGAAGTATTGGTTCATCGCAAGATACACTATAGCAGGACAAGTGCATTTGCATGTATTTGTGTTAACTGAAACAATGACATGTTGTTTAGTGTAATAGTGTGCGTCTCGTTGCGATAAAAATCGAGCTCAGTGAACGTTCCATTTTGATATTCTCTGTGTATATGCCTACCGAGTCCAATGATAATTTAGTGGAGTTCACAGAGTGTCTCAGTGAAATGACAGCCATAATTGACAGTCACAATGTGGAGTCGGTGTTTATGTTAGGGGACTTCAATGCGCACCCGGGTGAGTCATTTGCTATTGAACTCTTAACCTTTTGTGAGGAACAATCGTGGTCGTGTGTGGACTTGGAGCTGATGCCGTCGGACAGTCATACATTTGTCAGTGATTCGCACGGCTGTCGACGCTGGCTCGACCACTGTCTTGTGACCAATGCCGCGCGGCAATCTGTGTCTGCGGCTTCTGTATTATATAATACCTATTGGTCAGATCATTACCCAGTGTCTATACTATGTAATCTTAATTTAGTTGAGCCTAAGATTAGTATACCTACTGGTTGTATAAATAGGATAGTTTGGGGTGAACGTGATTCGTTGCAGATAGCGAAATTTAAAGATATATGCCAGTCGAGACTTAGAGAAGTTGATTTTCCTTCAGAATTAAGAAACTGCTCAGATAACTTGTGTTGTAATAAAAGTCATAAAATCTTGTTAGATAACATGTACGACGAAATAATTTGTATATTGTCTGAGGCTGCTATATGTAGTTATAATGACACGGAAAAGCGTAGAGGTAAATACATTACTGGTTGGAACAGGCACGTCCGCGGCGCTCATGGGAGGGCTCGGCTATGTTTTCAGGCGTGGTTGATTGCGGGTAAGCCCGGGGCTGGTCGTCTTTACGATGATATGTGTGAATCTAGGCGCGTGTTTAAATCTAAGTTAAAGTGGTGTCAGAATAATCAACAACAGATAAAAATGGATATCATAGCGAAACTACACTCAAACAAGAAATTCGGTCAGTTCTGGAAAAACACCAATAAAATGAATCATAAGCCGGGCCTCCCCGTGAGCGTAGCGGGAGTGCATGAGCCTAGTGAGATCGCCGCTATGTTCTCCCACCATTTCAGAGCAGGCTCTCCTATGGGGCTAGCGCGACAGGAGCCCGATGTTGAGGAAAGTAGTATACGTAGTGTTTATTTTACTACGAAGGAAGTGCGTACGGTGATCAGAGGCATGGTGAGGGGTAAATCCCCGGGTCACGACAGCCTTAGTATCGAGCACCTACAGCATGCAGGTGTACACCTGCCCAGGGTTCTTTCTATGTTTTTTACCTTGTGTTTAGGTCACTCCCACCTACCTGATAATTTAATGCGTACTATAGTTGTACCAATCATCAAAAATAAAACTGGTGATACATCAGATGTAAACAACTATAGACCGATCTCTCTGGCCACAGTGATCGCCAAAGTACTGGACAGTCTGCTTGGTCAGCAACTGGATAAACACGTCTCGCTAAGAGACGCGCAGTTCGGCTTTAGGCCTGGGCTTTCTACCGAGAGTGCTATTCTGTGCCTCAAGCAGACTGTACGGTATTACACGACTAGGAGGACCCCAGTATACGCTTGTTACCTTGATTTATCGAAAGCATTCGATCTTGTATCGTACGATATTCTGTGGGGGAAATTAAGGGATGAAACTTGCTTACCTAGGGAAATTGTGCGGTTATTCATGCATTGGTATAGCAATCAAAAGAATTTTGTTAGATGGGCCGGATCTCGCTCGGAGGAGTACAGGCTGGAATGCGGGGTGAGGCAGGGGGGGTTGACCTCTCCCACGCTCTTCAACCTGTACGTCGACCGATTGATCGATGAGCTCAGCAACACCGGCATCGGGTGTCATATAGATGGAGTGTGTGTGAATAATATCAGCTATGCAGACGATATGGTGCTGCTGAGCCCATCGATTGGTGCCTTGCGCGGGCTCCTGAAAATTTGCGAGTCCTACGCGGTGGCTCATGGGCTCAAATACAACGCGAAGAAAAGTGAAATAATGATTTTCAGACCAGATAACAAGCGTTACAATTTTGTTCCAAATTTCACTTTATGTGGCATAGCTCTGAACAAAGTCGAGCAATTTAAGTATTTGGGCCACTGGGTCACTGAGGACCTTAAGGATAGTGTGGATATTGAAAGGGAGCGTAGGGCGCTGTGTGTCCGGTGCAACATGTTGGCACGTAGGTTTGCACGGTGCACGGGGATTGTCAAAGTTGCGCTCTTTAAGGCGTATTGTCAGTCTTTTTACGCCTGCGGCCTGTGGGTTGACTTCACGCAGCGGACATACAGCGATCTGCGCGTTCAATATAATAACGCGTTCCGGGTGCTGATGGGGCTGCCGCGGCACTGCAGCGCTTCTGCGATGTTCGCGACTGCTAACACAGACGGCTTTCCAGCCATCATGCGCAAACGGTGCGCTTCAATCATGCGCCGCATGCGCGACAGTCCCAACGGCATCTTGTGCGCGCTGGCGGATCGGTGGGACTCTCCGATGCTGGCTCGCTGGATAAGGCTGCATGCAGTTGTATAGTGTTTTGCCACCATCATCGGGGAGTCCACCCGGACCCGCCACTACAAGTTAGTGCTCAATTAGATTAGACGTGATCAATAGTTATTATTATTACTAACACTAGTTTGTAAGCTCGCAATTGTACTAACACATATGGATGTAAATCTGAAATAAATGATTATTATTATTATTATTATTAAAGCTTAAATGTTTTACTGAATGAAAAGCGAATCCAATAATGCTTCGAACGCAACAAAATCATAACCTAACCTAACCCATAATCTTAAGGTCGTGAAAAAAAACAAAACCTAACCTAACCGAATATTCAACAATTTGTGTGCAACTCAGTAAGTGGTTTACTTAAATTTTTAAATAGAGGTGAAGTAAAAAAATCCCCATATTTAACCACTGTGCCTTTCTCATTAGTTATGTTATGTGCCCCAGCTGACTTTGAGCTTGACAAGTACCGTATTTTGGAAAAAAAATAAATCAAGTAATACTTAATACGGCTCGATAATCATATATATTCTAACTAACTTACGTCCTCTGCTGTAGGTTCTCAAACATATGAAGTTATTTACTCCAGTTATAAATCCAGGTTCTACGTTACCACCGACAATTTTGGAATCGTAAATCTATCAGTACTATCTGCAACTAGGTAGACCAACCAGGAAACCATATTAAATACCTGGGTGATAAACGGTGAAGGCGTGGAAATACTAGCAGATCTTAGAATTGAATTAATTATTATTCATGCGAGTGATCTCCAATTGATTAGAGCATGGATACTGGTAATAGGTTAATCCTATGATAGGCGCATAATATGTCTATAGCATAATAATAACATAACTATACGCCTTTTATCCCCGTAGGGTAGGCAGAGGTGCACATTACAACACTTAATGCCACTGTAGAGGTACAATGAAACACCCACTTATCACTATTCTATGTTATGTAATGGCGGGTGAGCCTATTGCAATATACCACATTTCCAGACTTCGGGCGATTACTAAGATTTTTTTGAAAAAACCCAGTAATACTTTGCCCGACCCTGGAATCGAACCCGAGACCCCTTGACGTCAGTCGCACTTGCGATCACTTGACCAAAAAGGCCTTCGATCAACAATAGCAACTAGATAAAGGGTTACGTACAAAATCAAGCTCCAGTTCTGTCCGTGTGAATAATAATAGTAAAAAAATAACAAACAGAGAAAAATGTTTTAAAATGGTTTTATGGTCAACCTAATAACAACCATGGCACCTAATAATAAAGTCATAAATCGCCAAAATATTATCTAATACTTACGACCATTTGTCATATAAGACGAGAAAACATTTTCTTACTCTTGTCATGTAGAAATTAAAAGACATAAGTTATTCAATATCTAGTTTGAATACAACCTTAACCTAGAACAAATAAAGATATTTTTTCCGTTATTGCCTTGCAATGCTATATCGTTTTGTTTTGTTTCGTTTTTGTTTTTCGAATTTCGAATTTCGCTACAGGAGGTATGTATGGAGTAGCGTTGAACACTAAAATAATTTTATAAATTATGAAAATTAATATTTCGGGATCTTAGTATACATCACTTATTTTTATTAGCGGTACGTTTTTGTGTATGATATGTTTATTTACTTTATTATTAAAAGTTTAAGTCTAAGTCAAAATCATTTATTTCAGTTAGACCAGGAAGGCACTTTTGAACGTCAATAATATAAATTTAAAAGTGAACTATTTGCTCATTCCTAGGTGTAGATTCCTATGGA